CAGATGATCGTATGGCATTAGCTCAGGCTAATAGAACAGAGATTTTGGAAATATATGCAAATGTATGTAACCCTTATTGTGAAAGAGAAGATATTAGTGGAGGTATCAGTGGGCGACATTGTATGGGGAAAGAAAAAAATTAGCTTCCTTACCTCATTCCATATATAAAGTTAAAATCCAGTTAGATTATTAAAGCCTTAAATATAGTAACATAAAATTTAAACCCTATTGTATCTGCATATAAATTTTTTTGAGAAACTCACGAAATGTAAGTGAAGGCCATAAAAGGCTTAAGTAAATGGCAAGAATACCACGTTTGACTGTGGGAAAACTCAATACCACAAAGAGTAAATCTTTCTAAGAAGTGTTTTTCCAGGTTTGAAGTTCACCTGCATCAGAATTACCTAGAGTACTTTTTAAAATGTAGACTCTTAGGCTCCATTTCAAATGGCTGAATCCACATCCTCCAGCTGAGGATGAAGCCCTGGAGTCTGCATTTAGAAAGCTCTCCAAAGGATTCTTTTGTGTACTAACCTTTCCAAACCTTTGCTGTAGGGAAGAAGGTCCTAACCTGAATTGCCCAGGAGAATTGCCTGGGAAAGTTTTTTTTTTTAATTTTTTTTAATTCAAATAACAACTGAATCAGAATTTCTGGGAAGGATACCTGTGCATCAACATTCTAAAAGTTCTGCCGAGATTCCAACGTGCAGCCCACTCTGGATGAGAGTGCCTCTAGAATCAGGTCTGTAAGGTTTGCTGCCCTTCCTTAATTTGAACATTACTCCTAGCGCTAACCTAGTAGGGACTGGACTTTATTTTGATTAAGGAAACACATTTTCCTTCCATAAGGGTTATGACATTCATTCGGTATCCCCAGCATCCTGTCTGATACCCAGCAGGGGCTTGGCGGTCATTTCCTGAAATACATTCAACTAAGTGAAACAGAATAAAATGAATCAATATGTAGTTGAATAGAATTTTCACCAAATGCCACTGGGTTCAACAAACCTATATGGCACCTGGCACAACGTTATGCTATGAGAGCTATAGAGATGAACAAAATATACTTCTTCCCTTCAGGTGTTCATGAACTGATGGGGGAGGCAGAAATAGGCTAACGTATTTTACAGTCGAGCAGACAATGAGAAGTGTCCAGAATATAAAAAAGGGAATAAAAAAATTGGTTCTTAATGACAGAATCTGGAAGGCATCATTGAAGAGTGGCCTTGAAGTATGCCCAGGAAGAAACTCGGAAAATGGGCAGTTGTGCTATAGGCATAGGGAATTCTGCACAGCATAAGCCTAGTCAGGCGGGCCTTTCTCTAACCTTCATGGGAGACGGAAGGGCAGATGTCAAAGGCTTCCTTTCTTTCTGATTTCCTTGTGACCACTCTCGTTTTTCAAGTATTTTGCCTCTGGTTTATTAAATCTACCTCCTGGTGCCTCAGCTGATTTCTTCCAGGAAAAGTTTTCATTAGCATTTCTATGGGGAGCACCTGCTACCCCATCTATCCCTATTAACTGAAGGCTGGGGCAATGGGCTGTTAAGAGGGGAATTTTAATCCCCTCCTTCTGATTCATCTGTTTTCTAATTTAGAATGTTAGGTCCAAAATCACAAATGGCTGACCAGTGAAATCCACCCTTAACATTAAAAATGATAAAAGACATGCTTCAATTTTATATCTTTAACATTAAAAACGATAACAAATGAGTGCTTCTCAATTTGATATCTATGTAAAATTAACGTATTAAAATCAGTCAACTTCATGAATTATTTAGAATCATAATTCTAAAGATACCTTAGAGACCATATGAATGCAAAAAAAAATCAGGCTACTGTGGGTAGGTTATGAATTATTAGATGAACTGTTAAATAGGGAAGGTTTCTCCAAACCACAGCATCAAAGGACATTTGATATTATCTACTGAATATATCGATATATTGTAGGGTAAAACTAATTAATATGTATATGACTCGAGATTCTGAATGTATATTTTGCATTATATACCAATATATTAAGCTGACGGATTATGTGTTCTTTATTTAAGCAAACTGCTCCCACTGATGTCATGTGACAGATGTGCTTTGTAAAGCCCATGAGATAAGCCAGTCACCACGGTGTAAACCAGCATGATTTATGTAGAATGGCAGAAGAAAAGGGTTTGCAAATCAAATTACCATTGAAATGGAGTCCAACTTGGCTTCTGAGGCAAGGTAAGCCTCCTTTACAGCAGACCCAGGACATATTTAAACTCAGCAGATATCGGAACCATACCAAAGAAAAGAATGTGAGACAATTGGGAAGGAAAATCAATGTTCCAGATAAGCCTACAATTTCCAGGCTTTTTTTTTTCTTTTAGTATCTTTAATTAATTGATTATCTTATTGTTCATATCGACTTCCACCCAAAGTGCATTTCCCTATTATTGGTTTATTTTTCTTCTGGAACAAAAAAATAATATTAAATTTCACATCAAATTTGTCATGCAGTTAAGTTGTTCCTTAGAGAAACTGATCTCTTATCAACACTCATTCTGATTCAAAATCATTCTGATTATCCAGCAAAATGGACATGCTGCCCAGAATCATATGCATAATTAAATATTACAGAAGATGCAAATGAGAAAACAATTTTTTTGAGGTGCTCAGATTTTTTTTTTTTGATAACCATCACAAATAAGCATTCTCACTAGCTCCAAGAGAATAGCCTTCTGCTATTCAATCCAATCACTTGCAATATGTGTATAATTCTAACTATAAAGCATGACATGCTTACTGAACAGTTAAGGTTTTTTGTTTTGTTTTGTTTTGTTTTGTTTTTTTGTTTGTTTGTTTGTTTTGGGGGGGTGGGAAGAGGCTATACAGCACACAGGTACAAGCTAAAATATTTAGGGTGAGTTGTATCTGAAGGGTGGGTCGTTCCCTGACTGTCTGGCTAATCACCCATGGACAAAGCAAGCCCAGCCAACTTGGAAACATAAACTGAGTGGGATGACCCAAGGAGATTTAAAATTCTGGAATCTCTCTTGATGGGCATTGACTCCATGGAAGTGAGGAGAGGTAGTTCCTCCCTGATGGGTGTTAAGGTTCCACCTGCCACAGGGTCAGAGAATGGAAGCAGGAAGATAAAGAGGCCGGACCAGGGCTCTCAGGGAAGGAGGTAGGGCCCTAGAAATAAGAAAACCATGGCAGAATCACAAGCTACATCTTGGCTTTTTTATTTATTTTTTTTATGCCCCTTTCTTTTCTTGTTGATGCTCTCTTGGTAGCAGCATAAAGATGTTATGAAAATTGTACCTCCTGGTGACTATGAAGCAAGGGAAAGGATATGTGTCCTTGCCTGACCCAGAGCTTGAGAGGGAAGCGGTACACTCCTTGGGGACCAGTGTGGTCAAGATAACAATAAACCCGGAGAATAATGTCAGGTGGGAGGGGGAATGCAGGAAGATGGAATAGTGGCCAACAGATTAGCTGCCTCTTCTCAGTGGAAAATGCTTTCCGAGTTGAAACCTGGAGAAGGGTTGAATTGGTCTTAACAGAGAGGATGTTATCTATGCTATTTTTTCCTCAGCGTGTAAAGAAGTGGTTATTATTTCACTGGAGAAAGACCGGTCTGACGTGAGGCTGCACATAGGGTCTTGGCAAAAGACCCTAATTCTGCAGTCGTCCTGGCCACACCCTCTGGCCAGCCAGAGGCACCTGGCTGTGGCATTGATGAAGGACCCCATAAGCCACATCTGGGATACCCTCCATTCTATTATCCATCATGCACATCTGCTTCCCCAGAGACCTCCACGCCTGGATGTTACATGTTTAGAGTCAACTGTGATCAGCCAGCTGGTTGATTCAGGTTGAAAAATGGGCAGGACTAAAAGCTAAGCATTCAAAAAATACATATTGGATGCATGAAGGATGACAAAGCAGGCTAGAAGGGCTGAGACTACAGCAGACGGGGGATTCTAGAAGAATGGAAAGAGAGAGAGGTTATGCCCTTGCTTGAAAGCATTTATTTACAGGGCATTCAGCTGTGTTAAAAAGGGCGTTGTTGGTGGTAAGAGAATGGGAAACATCTGGAGAACATAAAGAAACAGGAGAAAGGAGAGAAGGTTGGAAAGACATATCTACAAAGTGAAAAATCAGAATAATGAACATCATGTAGAAGGCTGGAATAGGACCAAAATGCGTGCCAGGTACAGTTTTCCTCATTTAAGCCTCACCATGTCTAGCATAGTGCCTGGCCTAGAGTAAGTGTTCAAAAATAAGTCAAATATTAAATTAATAAACGAGTGAGTACTCCTCAACCTCTCAATCACATCCGATAGGAGGCTGAGGCCCAGAAAGGTTAAGAAACTTGCCCAATGTGTCACAGCCAGTAAAAAACCTAAGCAGTCTCTCTTCAAAGCCCCATGGTGGAAGGAGGAGGGTGAGAGCTACAAGGATTGTTCAAGGAATCCAGCAGAAAAGGGTGTGGCGCTTGGGTAGCTCCCAGGGAAGGAGAGAAGGGAAGGAAGAACCAAAGGCCAAGCGAATTGGGAAGAGGGAAGAGGGTTACTGGTCACTGGGAAAGAATTCTTCTTCTCCAAGAATGGGGCCTTGGGGGGAGGCATGAAGGCCGGTGGGTGGCGACCGAGCCTGCAAGGGTCACTATCTAGACTCGTGCAGTGGGCACAATGGGTGGGGAAGAATGGAAGCGCAGCCTGTGCAAAACATTGCAAAGGGTCTTTGTAAGGCAGGGAGGGGTCTGAGGTAGGGCGGGATGGGGAAAAGGGTGGCTGAAACGGAGTGAAAGACCTGGGCAGGTTGGGGAAGAGCTCCCAAGAAAGAGCCTAAAGAAATCAGCCTCGGGAGGGTGCCTGGGCAGGGTCTGGGGAGGGTGTGGTCTGGGTTGGAGGAGAGGGGAGGGTGAATGTGAGGCCTGCGATGTGGAGAATGAATGAGTCCTGGGTAGAGGGTAAGGCTGACCAGCCCCGTTGCACGAGCCAGCGTCGGGAATCTCACCTGTAGGAGCTGCCCACGGCAGTCGCCACCTCCTCGCGGATCTGCCTATTGAGGGCGTCAGCCGCCGCTCGCCCCTTGCCCGCCTCGGGGCCCGCGGCCTGGGCCTGGGCGGCGGCGGCAGCGGCGGGGACGGCGGGCAGCGGCGTCTGCTCCGGGCCCAGCCCCTCGGCGCGGCGCAGCATCCAGGCCGGCCCGGCCTTCTTGCGCGTGTAGCGCTCGTCCGAGCGCATCGCCTCTCCCGCCCCGACGACCACACCCGCTCCGCCGGGGGCCGCGGCCGCCCGCTCCGGGGCCTCGGCGGCCACCTGCAGTGGCCGGCGCTCCTGGCTTGGGGGCCGGCGCTTGGGCGTCCCGAGGAGCCCGGGGGACGGCGCCGGGGCGGCGGCGGCTGGGACGGGCGCGGGCTTGGGGATCCACGGGTGGTCGCCGCGGCGCGGCAGCGGCCAGGCGCGGAAGTCCTTCTGGTACTGCGTCTCGCGCTCGAAGGGCACGTCGGACGGCTGGTACTCGCTGCGCGGCCGGCAGCTCGGCTCGGGCCGCTGCACCTTCCAGGCGCGGTAGTCCTGCCGCATCACCGAGTCCGCGGGGCCCGCGCCGGAGGGGCCGCCAGAGCCCGAGCCCGAGCCCGAGCCCGAGCCCGGGCCGGCGGGGCCCGCTCTGCTCCGGCCCGACGCGGCCGCCGGCTCGCGCTCGCCGCTGGGCCCCGGAGCCGGTCCCGTTGCCCGGGCAACTGCATCCAGCTCGCCCTGGGCCGGCTGTGTCTCTATGGCGACCGCCGCCGGCGCCGTGGGGGGCGCGTGCACCGGCTGCACCGACTGCACCGGCTGCACCGGCGGCGGCGGCTGCGGAGGGGCGCCCGGGTGCTCGGTGGCCTCCGAGTACTTGGTGAAGACCAGCGGCACGGCGATGTCCGCCTTGTCCAGCTGGTTCCAGAAGCGGGCGATGCAGCAGGCCCGGGTGATGCACGGCCACGCCATGCTGGTAGCTGCAAAGCGGGTCTTCCCTTCTTCTCTTTGTGGTGCGAAAGCGAGTCCTTTACTCCTTCTCCAGTCCTCTGGCCCTCCACCGGCCAATCTGATTCCCACCGCTTTGGTGTTTTTTTTTTTTTTTTTTTTTTTTCTGTTTTCTTTTTTTTTTTCCTGGGTGGATTGCGTGCCTCGCCCTCCGCCCTCAGAAAGCACCCGGGAAGGTCGGGGCGGCGCCGCTGTCACCGAGATCGAGTCCCTGGGTTACCGGCTGCTGCAGAGAGGCCTGGGGAGCCGCCTGCACAGGCCTGGGAACGCCGCCCGCTGCAGGCACCGGCGGGGAGAGCCGCGGAGCCCCGAGTTCCCTGCGAAGGCGTCCGGACGCGCCCCTCCCTGAGGCTGCGGCGGTGGCACTCACCCCCGGCCGAGCCCGGCGACGCGCGGCGAGGTGGCCGCGGCCTTAGGCCATGGCGCAGCGGGAGGGCCGGGCACTGGGGTCGCCGCGGCCGCGGACAAGTCGTCTTTTATTCTCCTGCCCTCCTGCCACCTAGCAGGGCTGGGAGGCGGTCACCTTCCAGCGAGGCTGAGCGTTGCTGACTCTGCCGCTGCTGCCGCTCCCAAAGATGCTGCTGCAGCTGCCGCCGTCGCCGTCTCTGCTGCAGAGAAGCGGCCCCACCCTTTTCAGCCGCTCAGCAGGGAAGGAAAAAAAAAAATCTAGGAAAGATGCTGAGAGAAAGCGCGCTGCGCTGCAGAAAAAAGAAAAAAATCACCTGCTGTCGTCAGCGCGCGCGCGCGGCTGGGAGCTCGTCCTCTCTCTTTCCGCTCCTCCCTCCGGCAGCTCCTCCCTCCTCCGCTGCTAGGCAACAGCAGAATCAGGCCTAGGTGGGGTCCAGCCCTAGGCTCCTGACTACTGGCTGTCCTTGTGCTGGTTGCTTCTCTTGGGGGGAGGTTGGGGCGGGGGGGGGGGGGTTCAGGCTCCTCAGTCATGGGGCAGGGGCTGGGAGGGGGTTGTACTTTAAAAGCATGGAGGAAACCCTAGTAAAATGTCTGTCCCAGGATAGACACTGTTTTTTTTCCCCCCTCTTAAATTATTATTGACTAGAGGCCTCATGCACAAAATCGTGAACTGGAGAAGGTGTCCCTCAGCCCAGCCTGCACCCTCCTCAATTTCGGACATCCCTCCCACAATCCAGGACTGCTGGCTCCCAACCATTCTCCTGCTTGTCAGCCTGATCACCCCCTAACCATGCCCCTGACAGCCCCATTGCCCCCAACTGCCCTCCCCTGCAGGCCTGGTCATCCCTAACTGCCCTCACCTGCTGGCCATTTTTGTGACAGCCATCTTTGACTGTCTTGGGTGATGGCATGAGAGTCAATGTCCATATTACCTCTTTATTATATAGGATTATTATATAGGATTTGAGTTAGAGAGAAACATGGATTTGTTGCTCCACTTATGCATTCGTTGGTTCAGATTTGTTGTTCCATTTAGTTATGCATTCCTTGGTTCATTCCTGTATGTGCTCTGACTTGGACAGAACTGGCAACCTTGGTGTATTGGGAGGACACTCTAACCAATTGAGCTACCCTGCCAGGGCCAGGATAGATACTTTTTAAAAAGGGAGCTACTGTGATTGGCCAAAGTCACCAGGCTGAATTTGAACCCATGTTGGCTGCCTCCTGATCCAAGCACTTATGCACAGGCCTGGCTCCGATGTGTGGGGATGGGGACCACCAGGCTGGTTGGTACCCTGTCTGTTCCTTTCTTTGGGGCAAGGGCTGTCTTAGAGACTCCCAAGAACTACCCTGTCCCTGTCCATTCAGCCCAGGAGGAGGCATGAGAAGGAGATTCTAAGTGGTGAAGCTGGGGTGCAGGAGAAGCAAAGGGGCAGTGCCCTAGGAAAGCGGCAGCCTGACACATAAGGGATTTCCGGCATGTTCCTTACCCCGACTTTTGATCTTGCTCTACCTGGGTGGTAGAGTAGATATGGGGGTCAGACAGACCTGGCTTGGCTCTGACACTTAACTACCTGTGTCACTGGGCAGGCTGGGTCATCCCTGGACCTCAGTCACCTCATGTTTGAAGTAGAGGAAGCAAGAGTTGCCTCAAAGTGATTTGTGAGGATGGTTAAGGACTCGGAGCAGAAGCTCTGAGCCAAATCGCAGCCTAACTTTTGCATTTCTTAGCTGCAACCTTCTGACCTTTAGTTGCCTCTACGAATGGGGTTGCTACTTATGAACATGCAAGATTATTCTAAGAATGACAATAAGAGCCCTGGTCAGTGGGGCTCGGCTGGTTGAGTGTCATCCCATGTGCCAGGAGGTTGCTGGATCAATTCCTGGTCGGGGCACATGCCCGTTTTGTAGGCTCTGTTCCTGGTGGGGGCATGCCAATTGATGTTTCTCTCTCATGTCGACTATCACTCCCTTTCCCTTCCTCTCTCTAAAATCAATAAAAACATATATCACAACTATACTATTCTCAACAATAAATATTTTAAAAAGCACAATAGTAAGAAAATGAGATAATGCACCAAAAGCGCTGACCGCATCTGGCATCTAGCAAAGGTTCAACAAACAGCAGCTATTAAGATTCAAAGAACCCACCGGAAATCCATAGGTGGAGCTTCCCAGACAGGCCAGCCATCTGGACACCTGCTCTAGGAAGACCCCTTGCTCTTCCAAGTTCCTTTAGGTCTCTTCTTGATGTCCCTCCACTTATGTCTCCTACCCTGTCTTCTACTCCCTACACCTAAGTTCATTCACTAGCCTTCAGCTCTGTTTCCCTCCAATATAGGCAGAGTGTTCAGCGTCATCTAAGCCAGGGACATTGGTATTTCCGGACAAGAAAGTTCTTTATGTGTTTAGATTGGGAACTGATTTGCAAAGCACAGCTGTTTTTTTTTTTTTTTTTAAACCTTGAAATCAAACAGAATGAGAAGATATTCTGATTCGTCAATTATCTGCTAGACTTCCTCCTACTTGGGTCTTTGCCTCTGGATAATTTGATCTGAGTTCCACAAATAAAACGATGCCTGCACTGTTGTCCAGTCGTTAGGAAACACGTTTCTATGAACAATATAATCTGGCCTGACACTTCTTACCCCCAATTCTGCATAACTCTCCTGATACCTGCTCTATCTTGTGGGACATAGAAAGAGCTTAGTTCCTATATCACAGTAGGATTGAGGTGGGTGCGGCTCAGTTAGATGGTTTATGGGTGAATGGGGAGAACGGGACAGAATTAGAAAACAGTGTGGTGAGCATAAGAGCATCACAAGGTGCTGAATTAGTGACTAATGAGAGATGAGTAGGAGCTCTCCCATCAGAAATATAAGATTTTGGAGTCAGACAGACATGGTTTGGCTCTGACACTCTCTGTGTCACTTCTTTTCTGAAAGATGGACGTGGGTTAGAGGGGAATCGCCCTTGACACCAGGCAGGGACAAGCTTGAAGAGAGAAGCTGCAAGCTAAGGATTGTGACGGGACAGACAAAGAATCTGGAGCGTGAGTGACCTTGTAGGGCTGCGGCACCAACCTAAATCTGGACATTTTTGTTTATTTCTCATTTAATTATTTTCCTATGTTTGTTTCTAGAATTCTTCTTATGAGAGAAAAGAAACCCATTTCTGTTTAGGACACTTCATAATGCTCATATCAGAATGCAAACCCTAATTAATATTGATTAGGATGTAATTTTTTCCCCCATATAAATAGCCAATTCTTTAAGCATGGTTATTTAGCTAGTCTGTCCTTGCCTCACTGACAATGCCTCCTCTAGTATATAACAAGTTTTCATATTTATGTGGATCTGTTTCTAATTTTTTTGTAAGAGAATTTTTTTTTTTATAAATCATAGAAGTAGAAAAAGTAATTCCTTAAAGAAATGAGCTTAGGAAACAAGTTCTAGAGGTAAAGGAAGGGCTCTTGGAGCTTGGGAGTGAGGAAGCTAATGGTAACAGGCCTGGGGCAGGGAGCAGAGGGAGAGGAAGAGGGAAAGGAAGAAGAGGGAGAGGGAGAGACATGCTCCAGGGAGAGGGCACTTGGTCCTCCATCCTAGGGTTTTAAGGGTGGAGATTTTAAAGGAGGTTCCAGGAGAAGATCTCAATATTCAGCAGCTTTCCAGGTGTGTTCTTTCAGGGTTGTGGTCTCTACTGATTGATTGGCCAGCACCAGGGCAGGGGGTCATTCAATGGTCCTGAGGTCAACCATGGGGCCACTGACTTGGTTTTGCTGCTTTTCTGGACCTGGAGCTGAGATACATCTGAGGCACAGATGTTATCTCTAGGTGTTTGTAAATTTTATATTCAGTTACTTACCCCTGAGCCTATCTTATAGAGTAAAATTATTGTAGAACTTAATATTTGATAGGATAAAACACTCCTTCATCTCTTCTTCTTCTTCTTCTTCTTTTTTTTTTTTTATCTCTCCTCTCTTAATTTCAGAGAGGAAGGGAGAAGGAGAGAGAGATAGAAACATCAGTGATGAGAGAGAATCACTGATTGGCTGCCTCCTGCGTGCTCCCTACTGGGGATCGAGCCCGAAATTCTGGCATGTGCCCTTGACCAGAATCAAACCTGGAACCCTTCAGTTCGCAGACCAATGCTCTATCCACTGAGCCAAACCAGCCAATCCTCCTTCTCTTCTTATCCTTCCTCTTCTAAGTTGTCATTCATTTGTGTTCATAAGTATTTTTTGAGCACCTACTAGGTGCCGGGCACTGTTCCAGACTCTGCGACATGGGATTAAACAAAATAGACAAACATCTTTGCTCTCACAGCGCTTATACTGCATTAGAAGTCTTGTCCTTAATCCTTCCATACTAATCTGAGGATCAGCTTGTCAAATTATCTGAAAACCTTTCATAAAATGTTTTATGAGATTGCATTGAATTTATTAAAAATTTAAGAAGAATTTCCACTTTGTGATTTTGGGACTTTCTACTCATAAAGATGGCAAAGCTTTCTGTTTATTCAGTTCTTTGTGTTCTTGTGTGATGATTTTTGTTGTG